ACTCCGAATTGAAAGAAATTTCGAGTAGGTTAGGAATTGGCGACAGAATTGAACGAATGAAAAAACGCGAAGCATTTATATCTTTAAAAGATCACAAAGAAAATTTTGAAAACAGTCCAAAATGCCGTCTAATTAATCCCGCAAAAAGCGAATCCGGAAAACTAAGTAAGGTTATTTTAGATAAAATCAACTCCAATTTGAGACAAAAACTAAATTCAAATCAATGGAGAAATACGCAACAAGTAATTTCATGGTTTGGCAATATAAACGATAAAGACAGGCACAGTTTTATTTCATTTGATATTGTGGATTTTTACCCATCTATTTCCGAAAAACTTTTAAACGAAGCATTGGCCTGGGCTTCGGATTTGACTACTATTACCGAAAACGATATTTCAATAGTAAAACATGCAAGAAAATCTCTACTTTTCGGCAACGGCAAATTATGGACAAAAAAAGACGGAAGCAACAGTTCATTTGACGTCACTATGGGTAGTTTCGACGGGCGCTGAAATTTGTGAGTTGGTAGGCCTTTTCATTTTAAATCACTTAGGTAAAAAGTTTGGCAAGGAAAACATCGGACTTTATAGAGATGATGGTTTGGCTATTATAAAAAGCAAATCCGCCCGTTTACTAGACAAAACTAGAAAAGAGCTACACAAAATTTTCGAGCAATTTGACCTTAAAATCACCGCCGAAGTAAATATGAACGTTGTAAATTTTTTAGATGTTACTTTCGACCTGATCAACGCAAAACACAAACCATACAGGAAACCCAATGACGATCCATTGTACATCCACAGACACTCAAACCATCCACCAAGCATTACAAGACAATTACCTACAGCTATCAACAAACGCATTGCACTTCTCTCATCGGACGAACAAACATTTAAGGAATCCACACCTATTTACCAGAACGCTCTTACACATAGTAACTTTGATCATGAATTTACGTACACTCAGGATGCACCGCAACGGACACGTAGGAATAGGCAACGCAACATAATTTGGTTCAACCCACCATTTAGTAAGAGTGTTAAAACGAACATAGGACGGGAATTCTTAAGTTTAATTGACAAACACTTCCCACTACAGCACAAACTACACAAGATTTTTAACAGAAACACTTTAAAAGTAAGCTACAGTTGCATGAACAACGTTAAGTCTATAATCACCAAACACAACGCACATATAATTAGGAACAGTCAATCACAGAATACGGAAACTGACAACTGTAACTGCGACAACAAAAACACTTGCCCACTACCGAAACAATGCATGACCAACAACATTATTTACAAAGCAACAGTCACAACGAACAACACGAACGACACTAAACACTACATTGGTATGACAGCGACTACATTTAAGGAACGTTATACGCTAACCACACTTCATCTTTTCGTCATAAAAAAGACTCAAACAAAACGGAACTTTCGAAACATATTTGGAAATTAAAAGAAAACAATCAGGATTATACCATCAAATGGTCAATTTTAAAACACGCTATTTCGTACACAGGGGGATCAAAACGCTGCAATTTATGTTTGGAAGAAAAACTTTGCATTTTGAAAGACATAAACAAAGACAATTTACTCAATAAATTATAAAAGAAGCGAAATTTTCGGCAAATGTCGTCACAAAAACCGGTTTCGAGTAAACAAGGTCGTTAACAAAACCTAATGACCCAAGCATGCATGCATTGTTTCACCTAAGCATTGTTTCGCTTACACGCATTCCGCACATTCTTTCGACAGCATAAAAGCAACCTACAATTTCGAAATTATTCACCACCTGATGATTCCTATACGGATGAAACAGACTGTTGTGGTTTTTTAAATATGGTATATATATATATATATATATATATATATATATATATATATATATATATATATATATATATATATATATATATATATATATATATATATATATATATATATATATATATAAGTTTAGTTCCAGAAACCTCAAGTCAAATGCATGTTGCGAGACATGATTAATTTAAAACGCATTCATTTTTATTAAATAATGATACCGCTTGATAGGATGTGCTCTGAATAAATGAAATAATTCTAATCTCAAATATATAGAGATTAGACGGGCTTGTAAAGGTATAAATAAAGGCTCGCAAATGAGAGGTTTGCGGCTCGCAAATGAGAGGTTTGCGGCTCGCAAATGAAAGGCTCGCGGCTCGCAAATGAAAGGCTCTGGCTCGAAGGCTCGCACATTAGTCAACCTCGTTCTTTGGCTTTGCTGAAATATCTCAAAATTTGTGTTGACAAACCAGTTTCAATATCATGTACGTCCACTAGAATGTATAACAGTAATCAACACTTCAAAGTGGCAAGAGTATCCATTATCCAGTTGAAATTTTGACATTTACCACTCCATCTGCCTTCTAGAATATTCCAATTCCCAAAAGTATTAATATTTGATGCTATATGCATGCATGTACGATACAGACCGAATATAAATTGAACGGTTGCAAAAATTCTTATAAATTCCATTCACATTTCGCACTTCATCTCTCGATACGATTTACATAGTTTCGGCGTGGTTTGACCATCTGTATTTCGTTAAATTCCGGTTATCCGTTGTAAGTGCCAAATAATCAATGTTTCATTCATATTTGTAACGATTAGCAACATCAAAATGATATTCTCGATCGATATTTTTTCGAATTGTGTCTGAATATAAAAAGATCGTATCCTATGGGAGTAGGGGTAACATCTAAGATTGACTTTGATCAGCCATGTTTGATTTATTAAAGGGGCAAAATCTCCTATGGGTAGTAGGGTACAGGACAAAGTCCTTCAGGTACTTGACGCGGTCCACACACGTCGGGTTTTGGCAGGCAACTCCCGCTCATTTTCCTCCCATGTTTTGCTCTCCCCAGCTCTCCCTATTTCGTTTGAGGCTCGGCCAAAGTTTGATTTCCAAAGTTGATAAGACAGTACAGAATTGCCTGCAGAGGAGGCTAATGTCGCCATAACATTTTAGAAATTCATGGGTAACGGCAAGTCGATGGATCATCGCTCGAGTACGACGCTCACATGCTAGGTAGTTGTCTGGGAGGGTGGCGCATCATCTTTCATGGTAATTTTGTTGCGTAACTGTCATTTGGGCTGCTGGTAATCGAGGTGTTGATGTAATTTTCCAGGAAACCTTGTTGGCTTTCAGTGCAGAATGACGGAGTGATGGCTATACATTCGATATATATGTAGTTATGCTGCGGAATTGGCAGATTGTCATCACAAAGAGTCTCCGTAGTCATGTTCTTTCTATTGCTCACGAAGGATATCAGGGGATAGTGAAAACTAAAATGCTTTTTTCTGTGTTGGTGTTGTGTATTCAGGTGAATATGATGCTTGTGATGTTACTCTGAGTGTATATCCACACCGGGCGAACTTGAAAAATATGCCCGGCCACGGTGGGAATCGAACTTACGACCTTTGGAATACTATCCTAATGCTCTACCAACTGAGCTACGTGGTCAGGACGGTTCGAGTACACAACACCAACACAGAAAAATTCATATTTATTTACTAGATTACATTGGTATCGAAGGAACTAGATTCTGTTCCGAAATATCACTTATTCGAACCGTCCTGACCACGTAGCTCAGTTGATAGAGCATTAGGCTAGTATTCCAAAGGTCGTAGGTTCGATTCCCACCGTGGCCGGGCATATTTTTCAAGCTCGCCCGGTGTGGATATACACTCAGAGTAACATCACAAGCAACAAAAATGCTAGTACGCAGTAAAGTATGGTGGCCTGGTATTGATGAACAAGTTAAGCAAGTGGTTAAAGAATGTATATAACCTGCCAAGCAGCATTACAGCAGTTACTAAAATGTCAACCACATCTGAATATGACAAAGCTTCCTCCTCACGCTTGGCACACACTTCAAGCAGACTTCTTTGGTCGAAATTGAAATTATGCAACTGAGCACAACGACCACGGTGACCGTTGTTAAATCCAAATTCCAAAGAATCTTTGCCCGAAATATAGATATCCCGAAGTATCTATCTGAAGTTCTAAACATTGAGTTCGTTAGCGCTTGAATTACACTTCATTCGCCTCAAGCCAACGGAGAAGCAGAGCTATTCATGAAAACCGTAACAATATCAATTTGTACAGCTCACTCGGAAGGAAAAAGGTGACAAAGTGACAACTGCAGATCCACACCTTATTCAACGACCTACATAGTCCGGCTGAACGTTTGTTGAATGACCCATCAGAAATAAGCTTCTTAGCTTTTCTTCGCTTCAACACAATGATGGCGCTGTGAAACACCACGTTGTTCGTGACAAGGAGAAGGAAAAAATGAAAATACACGCTGATAGAAGTAACAAGGCGAAAGAGAGTCAATTGAAAGTGGACGATTATATGCTAATGCAAGTCCTAAACGAAAATAACTTTTTAATGCCTTCAATTATTGAAATCAAAGTTAACGTGGTAACAGCTCGTAATGCAGAACACACTGTAACTCGGGAAGTATCTCAAAAATTATAAGAAGACATGGTGAGGAAGACCAAAATGACGAAGAAGATTATGACGATGGTATTGTAGAAAACAAGCAACAGGCAAAAGTTGAAGAACACCAACGAGATCCACAAGATCAACGACGAAGGAATCATTTCAGACAAAATCAAAGACCGCCAAACTGTTACAAAAGTTGGACGCATTAAAAGTAGTTAAACAATTACTGATAAACTGGAAACGTAGAATTTATTAAAGTAATAAACAACAATTTACATTTAAGACTTATTTTTATAAAAGAAAAGGAGGGATGTAATGTAGTTAATAGACAGGAAATGACCGGTTACGTGATGGGACATTTATATAAAACAAAAGACAACATATGTAGAGAAAGGGAAAAACACAATAGTAGAATTAATTGAACTTGATATTAATAAAAATCTATATAGGCCTATTAGTGGAATACATTATGCAACTCAATCAATTGAAAACAGCAACAGCAAAAAGTAATCATTACAAGCAATTGGCAGAGATTTTCTTTTTCGGACGTGTAACAATCATTCCATGCAATTTCCTGTTACCTCCCTCATCCTCTATAGAAATCACGTAACTCGAAAATCACTTGTGTTTTCCATGAAAGGATATGCAATGTGTTTCTCTATGCATGATGAAATTTTTGTATTAGAAAATATTTATTTTGCACACTGACAGATTTTGTCAGTTTCACAATTTTAACATTCTTTGGATCTATTCTATAAATACGATATGCGATCTTACCTGGTGGTACTGGTTCGCAAGTTCCATTTATCTCAATAAACTGTTCTTTGCATGTACAATTACGTCCTCCAGTTGCTATGATTGGCGTGCACTTTTGACTTTCTCTGCAAGGGTTCGTTTGACATGGATTTTTATCTATATATAATGTTAATAAATCCATTAACGTTTTCCGGGGTTATTTTTGGTTGACTACTGATCTTACATGTATATAGTCACCGGCGGCCCAGCGATTTCCACTTCAACCGTAATCATACTAAAACGTACTAATGAGCATGAGTGGATTGAAAATAGGTTGATAAATTCGCCTACTTCCGAGTGTACTCTCGTATCAAGCGTTTCTTCACATTCTTCACGTTTTATTCCTGTTTCATACGTTTTGGTACGGTACGCTTAAATTGGAAAACAGCCTTAATCTGTGTGGATTACAATGGCGAGATCATTACACATGAATTGAATATATGTATTCTCTTCTTTGTTATTTTATACGAGTTTCTTACGGCTACAGGTGCATGGTAAACAGCGAGTCGCTTATTTTTACGGAGATTTGCATTTTGATACCACATAAAATATCCAATATTTCTTGTAGTTTTCGGGCATTGCATTGTCTTTTAACTATTAATTGAAATTATTTTTTTAATTTTAATTTAATTTAATTTAATTTAATTTAATTTAATTTATCTAACTTTGCCTTGGTAACAATATTAAGAAGAAACATCAAATTACTGTATATATAAACAAGGCAGGATTTCCGCATCAGCTACAGCCAATAACTGCGGATCCTTCTTCACAATATTCGATAAATTAGTTAAGTTTACTGAACAGTAAACGGAAAATGACTAAATAATAAAATCAATCAATCAATTAACGAGCTGTTCAATTGATGTGTTCAATCAACCAACCAAGAGATCAGGCAATTCAATCAGACACTTACTTATAAAAATATATTCTACCATTGGTAGAAGCAAAACCTTTCCATACAATTTAATAGCATGGATATGAAAAAACCCTAAAAACACAGTGACTGAAATTTACACAATCCAGTTTGAAAATAACTTGGAAGATGTCTGTCCACAGCCGCAATCTGGAATTACCTGGTATGGAAAGGCCATGGTTTTACCAAAATATAAATAATCAATTGCGCGAGGTTCAAAAACAAGAATAAAGCCCGTTTTCCACTAGGCGAATTTGTTCGCGCGAACAGATAAAAGTAGGAAGCGATCCTACTTTTTCGCCGCGAATTTTTTCGCCGACCAATCACGTTGCCGGATTTCGGTTTTCGCTTCGCGTCGCGCGAAAAAATTCGCCTAGTGGAAAACGGCCTTAAGGGGGAACCAGCAAACTTCTAACACAGTTACATTTGACACAGGTTGTCTTCCATGTACGTGGGTCGTCAGGGTCGAAAGTGAAGGAAAGAGCGGAGTAGTAGTATTCTTTCAGAATATTCTTGAAGGTGGCAAGAGAAGATTTGTTGTGGTTTCGGGTTATTTCTTTCGGTAGTGCGTCCCAAGTCCATGTTGATCGTCTCAAGTAAGATCTGCTGCACGTCAATGTTATGTACAGTGGCGTAGCGCTCATTGGTTAGGGTTAGTTAAAAAAGCTAAGGGCCCCCAACATTTAGGGGCCCCCATCAGCCACAGTCTATCGCCCAGAAAATTGAAAAACGCAAAAAATGCAGAGGAAGGATCAATGGGAAAATGCGAAATTAATAGTGCTAAATAATAAAATATAAAAATATTATGCCATCTCAAAATAAACAAAAGTTATTCATAAAAGTTGTTACATATGTTGGAGACTGTTATTGTTATTGTTATTGTTATAGACACGGAATTTTCCAGAACATTCTATAAATATTCAATATAAATATAATATCTCAGTCAAACAATGACAACAGGGGCCCCAAACAGAATATGCCTAAGGGCCTCCTCTTCCTCCGTTACGCCACTGGTTCTGTATCTATATACTTATTATAAACTTAGCTATACTGTTCGAGCTAGCACTCTTTTGCCCAGTTAGTAATGGATTCACGAAATATATAGAAAAATGCCAGGCACATAACCTCCTCTGCACCCAACTTGAATAACTGAAAACAGCATAATACGCAAAACCTGGTAGACATTTTATTTTTCTGACGCACATCAATTGTCCCATGTAATCTCCTGTTACTTCCTCTCATCAACTATATAAATATTACGTATAATGTAATTCTATCGTTTGCGAACAAGTTACCTGCAGAGGAGGCTAGTAAGCACATACCTATGCATTTATCGCCTTCCTCAAAAAAATTATAATTACATGTACACTTGTGTCTTCCTTCATAACCATCTGGTTGACATATGCTATTGGGTTTGAGCGTGGAGCAGTTTGAATTTTCGCATGGAGGTATAGCTATCAAAAAGAATAAACTATTAATTTTATGCAAACTGACACGGTTGGTAAGAGTTATATTGGGTCGAAGTATAAAGCTCATGCGAACATTATTCAATTTCTACATTAATTTCGAAAACAAAAATATGCTTAACGCCTACTATATTTATACCGTTAAACAATGCAGCAAATTTAATTAAAATTGATATAAGTGTTATGATTTATAACTAATACTGTTTTTGTTACCAGAAACATGCTGAATTTTGGAATGAAAACGCAACTATTGTTGCGTCGTTGCCTATATTCGGCTCCTCCAACACCCCGGATCGGTCCTACATCAGTTTCCCGTATAAGTTCCACACTATATATTATAGTGTAATATTGAATATATTAGTATTGATTTTGTATCATTTTGTTTGGGATAACACCTCTCATTACGATTTTCTATTCCGTGTAACCGTATACGCGGCTACAGGAGCACAAATGCACGGGGGGGGGGGGGACACATTTCCAGTTGAGCGACCATGCACAATGGTTTACATAATAACCATCTGGTAAACAGTTTGTTAACCATCTGGTAACCATCTGTTAGCCGTCTCGTACATTGTAACCATCTGCTAAACAGTTTCCGGACAAACAAGTAATTATTCCGCTATTTTACCATAGCTTTTGTATGGTATATCATTTTCAATCTCAAATCAGCCGAATACAGTCCATTGTATTAAAAGCTCACCTGGCTGATCGAATACGCGACCAACACTCATCCTCAAACCTGCTCTCATTAATTTAACTACTACCCGTTTAGTAGTCAAATAGTTGTTAACTCTCAAATACGAGATTGTGATTGGTTAACTTTCGCAATAACTATGGTTAACTTTAATCAGCTAGCTATTTATATAACCGTCCCCTGCATAGCTACGCCTTACCATTTACTTGGCAGTAAAGTGATTGACACAAAATTAAACAAACCAATATATGAAGAGCTGAACATAATAGAGAATATTAGAATATCAATTCAGATGGAAAAAAATGAACTTACCCTTAAAATCTAATGCTTCCACGTATTCAGATAAACAGTGATGACCATGATATCCATATATCTGTCGCAAAATTAAAATTTACACTTCTTAAATCCAATAATTTCACATACAACATTTGGCATGATGTATAATATTGGAAAACAATTTAATTCAAATGCGTTAATAAGATCATGCACGTATCGCTGTAGGAACTTGATCAACGCTTTAATTTTATAATAAATCAATGCTGTTAACGACTTAATTTTGCTTATATATAATATATAATTAGACGTATTAGTTACAATGCTAATATCAGTAATATGCACTTATATTAGCGGGATTTGATTGGTTAATATACTATAGGGTGCTATATAGCAAATGGCGTCACGTGCTCATAGCGCGCTTGTTTTTTTCCCTTTGAATTGAGTTATATGAACATAGCGGATTCGATACACAACCTCGAAACACTGGATAATATGGACGTTGCTGCATGCGCATACCGTAAGTTATCTGCAAATATCCCCCATACCGCCCTAAAATAAACTCCATTCTTTGGTTCGAAAAACTTAATCATCCCCCTGCATCCTTTTAAGTCTCATCCATTCCTCTGCATGTTCACAAAAAAGAAAACATGTGCACTGCATATAATTACTCAATTATACTAGAAATACATTTTCCAAGCATTATTTCAACATCAAGTATTCTTAACACCAACACTGAACATTGGCTCGGGATCATGTTAGCTATGACAACCAACACGATCATTTTTTTTAAATTTGTTGTATACAATACGGCAAAAATAAATAAATGTTTTACACCTTTAACTATCGAACTACCGATCCCTAAAATATATAAAGTACGTAGCTATGTTGTTTTGCATTCTATGCATGGCTTTATTTTAAAATATAAAATACAACATGGAACGCTTCGTAAAATGTTCATTGAAATTAACTGATTTTTGCCGATAAACTCTTCGACTTATTACTCGTACTTTGAAATGAAATAAATTCACTAAGTTATACAAGTCCGCTCATGAAAATAATTTACTCTTTTCCGTCTTTCTTTGAGCTGTTATAAGAAAATATAACAACTAAGTTAATGCACATACAATGATAAAGCTGTTGCATTGTTTGTAAAACCATAATTGAAAATAGATAACACTGCATGTTTATGAATAAGAAACTGCCCTACTGATAAAAAAGAATTCCTAAATAAATATTATAAAATTTAGAGATTAGAATTCCTCACTAGAAAGTAAAAGCCAACTTTGTTCCCAGGCTATTTTCTCGCACACTTTTAAATATATTCTTATTCATAAGATAAGTGGAGTACTATCCAAAAGATTGTCAGCATCAGTTATAAATTAATAATGTCTGTAAACATAATTAGCAATGAAATATTGAATTAATTAGCATACAGTATAAGGATGTTCCAATATTTACTGTAAGCTGATCGATTAGGATATACCTTGAAAGAGTATAAAATATCCCAACTGGTTGAGGAGAAAGACTAATCATTATTTTAAAAATTGTAAAAGATCCGGATCATGTTTTATATAATCTACGTCCCGAAAGAAGATCCAGAACTTTAAAAGAAAGAAAACACTCATTCACTCTACCTAAGATCGAAACTGAACGTTTTAAACGTTCATTTTTAAATACCGTAGATGTTTATTTGACTATTTTAATTGCTATTTTAACTTTACTAATCACTGTAAAAATACATCAACTTCAATTCAACTATAAAATACTATAAAAATAATTCTGAATCAACTTAATTAGAATTGTAAAGGCACACGTCTGTAATTGTGCCTCCTACCTCATTTTAATAAAGACTATAATGGAAACTTTATTTATTTCATAATATACCATAAAACTATATTTACATTGATAAACCTCGCTCATAAAGGTAGTTTATCGATGACTACTTGAAAAATATTTGGATTATATAAATTTACAAAAATAGGGAATTTAATATCGTTCAAAATTTTAGAAGCTCTGGGTTAGTCCAGTCTTTGTTTCGCTGACAGAATACATAATATGATATGCGAATACAAATAGCAATGATTTTCTTTTTAATGTATTTAATTTGTTATTCATCGAACTGCATTTCCTTGAGCATATCAGTTAAGGTGTTCGTCGATTGAGCAAAAACGCCTAGCGAGCTTATGGTACATTAACAAATTTTACCTTATCATAGTTACTTTCTTGATCTGAAATAAGCGGCAGGTATTTTTTATGTTTTCGATCTGAGTTAGAGTTAAGATTTGTTTCAAAGCCAACAGTCAGTTCCATAACATATAAAACTTTATTTTCAATTGCCAAGAGAAGGTCTGGACGTAACTG